ACATCCCCTAAAAATTATTTTTATGTTACATAGAAATGCTAGTGGTATCCTGAGATCCAAAATTTGGAGGGAGAGTCACCGTGTAAGACAGAAACATGTTTTAAGTGACCATTTGTAGAATATTTGCTAGTATGTACAATGTTTTAAACACCTTGTTTTACTTGAAGTTCACTTTCTTTCTCTTTTAGACTTCAAATTCTCAAGTGGATTTGAGCAGTCAGTTAACTGATGATGATATTAATGAAATAATTCAAATAGATGGGACTGGTGATACATCTTCTAATGAAGAAATAGGAAATATGAGAGATGCAGAAGAGAATGAGTTTCTAGGAATTATTGATGCAGGCGATCTGAAGGTGCTCGAAGAGGAAGCTGACAGTATCTCCAATGAAGATTCAGCCACAAACAGTAGTGATAATGAAGGCTCTCAAGTAGACACTGTGGACGAGGTGAGGGTCATTTCTGAGCTGAGACTTTATTAACTCATGACATTCGTGCTTCAGTATACTTGGGAACCAAGAAAATAACAATTAAGATGAACCCTGCCTTCAGTCTTTGGAAATGAAACTTAGTTGTATGTGGTACTTAAACTTTCAAACTCGGTGTAATTTAAACCATTATTAAGTGTTTAGGAATGGGCTTCTGTGTTGCTCTTAGCAAGAGATAACGGGAGGTTTGGGGATAGGAGTGGAGGTTAAAGGAGAGCAACATAGACCATACAGTAGCTGTTCTAGTAGGTGCAGCAGAATCTGGATCTAATGTGGTGATTAAGAACGTGTAAAGGGGGGCTGGGGATTTAGCTCGGCAGCACAGTGCCTGCCTGGCAAGCGTGAGATCTTAAGTTCGATTCCTGGTACCAGAAAAAAACAAAACAAAACAAAACAAAACAAAACAAAAAGAACACGTAAACGTATTTAAATACAGCATTGCTTCTTTGGTGTGAGAAGCTGAAAGTATAAGTAAGGGCCAAAATGTATAATAGGTATTGTTAAATGGGAAGAAACTCTTCAAATGGGAAGGGGAACAAGGGAGGAAGGAGAGTAAAAGGAAGGAAGGGACAAAAAAAGAATGGAAGGAAAAATGGAAACAAAACTTTCATAAATAAGGGGAAGAAGTATTGAAGGGAAGGGAGAGGAATGGGAAAAAATAAGCAAGCTATATCATGTATCGCTACAAATTCCCTGTGATGAATGTTATCATTATGTACATCTAAAATGGACCAATAAAATAAAAAATAAGATTGAGGCTTAAATGTAAGGAAAAAGAGAAAGAAATTGCAAAAGTGTTCACTACCATTTACAGCGGTCGTACGTAAGTCGTACCTTCCTTCTTACTGAGCAGCCCTAGTGTCCCATGGGTCTTCCTACCATCCTTATTTTATAGATTAGAAACAGATACGAGGGGCTTTCGTAACTTGCCCAGGGTCATTCATGTAATTATCAAGTGGCCAAGCAGGGATTCAAAGTTGGGCTATTTGACTGTAAAGTATAATACTGTCCTGACTTTCCGAGTCATTTATTTCTGTGTGTCTCTCTGTCTTTAAAAAGTTCGGAGCGTTGTGAAGCTCCTTAACGTGACCTTCTTTCACCTTTAGGACCCTTTAAATTCTGGAGATGATGTTAGTGAGCAGGATGCACCAGACCTGTTTGACACAGATAATGTGATTGTCTGTCAGTACGACAAGGTACTGCATTTCCCTTCTGGGCTTTGGGTTCATTAACTGCGTTTATAGTAGAATGTATGGAAAATGGTGGGGGACATTATGGTGACTTATAATTCACAGCTAAATGAATTGTATCACAGCTACTTAGTTCTGTAAAGTTTTGACGGTGTGGTATCTTGAGCCAAGCATTCAAAATATGTGGTCTCAGCGATAGAGAACATGATAGTCCTTGTTTTAAGGAGGTGACAGTCTTATTGAAACAAGCTATTTCTTATGGAGTAATAGAATGACACACAGTAAGAGGGTAGACAAATCAGAAGCAAAAACATACGACAAGTCAATCAAATGCTAAGATAAATGTCACCTAAGTAGAATGCTAAGATATGTGGAAAAAGTGACTCTCAAAAGGGCTAAAGGTACCGGAACTCCTTTGCAGTTTGAGTTCCTCGCAAGTCCTGCATAGGTGATGTGGGGCTGTGGATGGGCTTGGATGGTTTGGGAGGAGTAGGTTAGCCCTGGGGGGCTGGCATTCAGAACAGAATGGCTTGTTGAAAGGCAGAACCAGGAATGGATGCAGCAGGTAAGAGGGGCAGTGGAGAGAGCGCTGGTTTGAGCAAGTGTCCTCTCGGGATATGTTCTAGGAAATGAAACAGGGCCAGTGAGCAAGGATGGAGCAGACTGGGATATCCTGAATGTGAGTACGAGAAATGAAACTTGGTCTGAAGAACATTAGCCTTCTGGAAAGGTTGTTGAGAAAATTGTAACCAAACTTAAAAACTGGCCACATTTAATGATTTAGAAAAGCAGTAAGAAAAATAGGGGCAGTGTAGACATGAAGTGACCAGATTAAGTAGACAGTGTAAGAATGAAACATCAAAGATTAGGGTAGATGATTCAGTGGGGTTGGGGGTTAGTTGAAGGTGTCTCTCAGGTTTTAAGCCTAGAGATTGAGTTAGCAGCAATTTAATTTAGCAACTAGAAAAAACCCCAACAAAACAAAAACTTCTTTCTTTCCTCAGTTGGCAATTTGAGGCACATCTGTATTCTCAACTACTTGGGAGGCTGAGGCAGGAAGTTTTCAAGTCTGAGGTCATCCTGGGGAATTAAGAAAGACCTTATCTCAAAATAATAGACAGGGTTTGGGATGTAACTCATTCTGAGTCCTTGGGTTCAATCCCCAGTATCATAAAGCAAAATACCAAACAAATCCAAACAGAGTAACAACAAAAAACCACTATAGCTGTGATTATGTAGTAGAATGATGAGTTTTGTGCTTAGTTCATGACTATTTACATGTTTATAAAACAAACTTGAGATAGTGACATAATATATAGTGCACTTACGTGAAGCATGTCATTCCTTGGTGTTTTAGTACGTTCCTATGCGCAACAGTTATCACAATTTTTTTAGAATCTGTTACTTCAGAAAGAAACCTCGTTCCTTTCCTTCTCAGTCTTGCCCGAGGAGCCACTGATACACTTTCTGTTTCTTCAAGTTCCCTGTTCTGCATTTCATGTGAAGGAGTCCCGTGACACAGAGACTTCCGCAGCGGCTCCTTCTACTTAGCACAGTGTCTTCAGGACTCGCCTGTGTGTACTGTGTGTCAAGACTCATTTCCTTCATTGCTGTTGAACGGGTGCATCACATTTTATTTGTCTATGGATGGACTTTTGGGTTGTTTTCCACTGTCTCGAGGCCTTTTCCTCATCCATCGCTACGTTGTAGCTGAGACCTTGTAATAACAGACCTATTCACAAGAGAAACACATACACATTTGTTTAAGATACGTTTTACATGACAGAGGATCTGTTAGAAATGACACAGCAACATGGAAAACTTCTCCCAGATGACCGTGCAGAGGTGTGAGTAGAAGAAAAAAGAGTGTGATTCAATGGTAGCCAACAGAGGGGGATTTTGGCAAGGCCTAGTGGTTTAGGTTCTTTTTTCTGTCCTGGTGTCTTTGGAGATACATATTGCTTTGCTCTGGGTATAGAATGGGGACATCTGGAGGAAGAATTTTATGACTACTTTAGAGGAAGGCAGGGAAGTCTTTTCATGGCCTGCTTTACAGGAGGATGGTATTGGGATGGTCAGAGACTGTCCTGCTTCTGCTGTTTTCTCAGATTCCAAGGGGCCATATTTTGGGTGGTGGGTCCTCAGTCTCATCTTTGATTATCTTCAGTAGTACTGCTATAAACATTAATGCACAAGTTTTTGTGTGGACACGTGTTTCTACCTGTCTTCGTGTACACCTAGGGGTTGAACTTTGGATCATATGGTGATAGTTTTAGGAACTCCTGGAATGTTTTCCAAACTGACTACTATTTTGCATTCTTGCCAGCAGTGTGCAGGGTTTCACCTCCCTGAATTTTTAAATTTTTTGGTACCGGGAATTGAACTCAGGACTTTGCGCTTGCCAGGCAGGCACCACGCTGCTGAGCTCAATCCCCAGCCCCACTTCTCTGCATTCTTGACAGTACTTCTTATCTAACCTTCTGATGATCCTCAGTGAGTGTCAAGTGGTATCTTACTGTAGTTTTGATTTTCATTTTCCTGATGACTAATAGATATTTACGTCTTTGGTCAATGATTTGAATTTGAATATACTTAAAGAAAAATCCTTTCCTCTAAAAATAAGATCAGTTTCTCTTCTGTAACACTTTACACAGACAAAAAAATGATGATTTACTGGTAGGTGCTGGTAAATACAAACATAAGATGGAGTAGGAGACACAAGAGGGACAGTTCTTAGTTTGAAGCCTGCTTTAGTTTTTTATAAATAGTGTATTGCCTTTTACAGAAAAAACATTGTGAGTTACATAAATACATGTGTATTCCATAAAGTCTCACAAGAATTTTCTGGAACATTATGGATATAATATCTTTTGTTCACTGCACCGTGGGAGACAGATTGTAATTAATTACAGAGTGCTGTGCATTCCCAGTGTTTTCTCATACATTGTTTTTGTCCTCTTTACAATAACCTTGTGGGGCAGATAGAAGTGATATTAGTTGAATAGTGTTAAAAATCTAGTTGTCTGAGAATACTCTAATTAGCTCATATTTTAAGAACAGTACTAAAAAATTAATAGAAATGAAGGCATTGGGGAACCATTGAAATATTTTTGAAAGACAATGATGCAGTTAGAAGATAGTAGCAGAGAGAATGTATCCAAAAGGTCAGAGTGTGGTGGGAACACTGTTACAGTGAATTTTTATAGAGGACAAACTTGACAGTTCTTGCCATTGGTTGATTTACTTAGCATTATCTTGAATGGAATCGAGCTGCAGTAAATTGAAAGAATGCTCAGTAGTCTTTTTAGAGGCCAGCAGCATCAGTACCCCTGGGTGAATATTACAGTTGCAGAATCTTGAGACCCACTCCAGAGTCCTTGATTGGAAAGTGCATTTTAACAAGACTCCAAGGTGATTTGTATGCCCATTAAGCTTTGAGAAACACTGTTTTTTGAAAAATATATATTTTTTTACTTTGATAAGCCTATAAAATTTACCTTTTAAAATTTTTAAGTTGAGTTGGAGAAAAACTTTGAAAATATTAACATATCCAGTGAAAAAGGGCTAAATGAAGGCACTTATCTATATATTGGGTGAGACTTAATTAAGTGGTATGGCTGTATTTCACAAACCTAGAAAATATTTAAGGTTAATGTAAAGATTAAAGTGATGAGGATATCAGGGGGCAGAGTAATGGTGAAATGAAATCTTTTACTAGTGATGAGAGTGTTCCATGCTATGAGTAGGACACTACACTGAGATGTAAATCCAGTTGAGTAGTGTCTTTGTCTAACAGCTTAGTACACTTGGTTGAGGATAGCTTTTTTGTTAGGTGCTAGCATTGCGATTAATTGCGGGCTGTGTAGCCTAGTCTCTTTCTCTCTCTATGATTATGTTTTGTTTATTTTGAATGGCTAGTGCATATGCATAGTTGAAAAAATCGAAATGTGGTCAAGACGTCAGTGCCACTGGGGGTGGAAAGTACAGGCGAGGCCTGGTAGGAGAAAGAGGCCTTGGGAATGTGCCCTCGCAGGGTAGATTTTGTCCTAACCCCTCTTTCTTTGCTTCCTGGCCGCCATGAGGTGAACAGCTTTGCTCACTTGTGCACTTCCTGTCCTGATGTTCTGCCTTGCCACCGGCCCGCAGTAATAGCACCAAGTGACTACAGGCTGAAAACTCTGAAACTGTGAGCCAAGATCTTTCCTCCTTTGTGTTGATTTCTCTCAGGTATTTTGTCCTACTGAGGGAAAGCTGGTGAGCACAGAGGAGAAATGAAGGCTCTTGCAGTACACTGTAAGGACTATAGTTTTTCAACGAGAAGTCAGTGCAGAGTGTTGAGCAAATAAATGACATTTGATTTATGTTTTTAACATAAAACGGTGGCTGTTATGTTTCCAGAGGACTAAAAGTTGGGGGCACAAGGGTAAAATGGGGAAACTAGATAAGAGGCTGTTGTTGTCTAGGCAAGAGAAGATGGTGGCTTAGACAAGAGTGACAGAGGCAGAGGTGGCAGAAGTGGTTGGAATATGTGTTGCAATGGGTGTTCCTGATGGGTCCAGATCATGGAGGCATGAATTATGTCCAGGATGTTTTGAGCTGAACATGAAGAGGAGTGAAAGGACATTTGTCGCTTAGCCGGCAAAGACTGTAAGGCGAAGGGAAGAGGAGATCCTGGTTTTAAACTCCTTTAGATGTCACTTGATTTTCAGGAGAGGATGGGAAGTGGCTGAAGGAGAAGAGTTAAGGGAAGAGGTGTGAACTGGAGATATATTATCATTAACGTACATCACCAAGGGTGAGTACAGCAGAAGTGAGAGTCCTGGGGTACTCTAAAGATAGAGAGGCCAGAGAGCTGAGGAGGAATCAGTGAGGAAGAGTAAGGAGTGGCTGGAGAATTAGGTGAAAATCCAGAATGTTCTGAAAGTCAACTGAAGAAACTATTCAAAGAAGTAAGAGTATTGAATGCTGCTAGTAGATTGAATATTGTTCAAGTTTGTTCTTAGCTA